AAAGGGAAAAAAGGGAGATCGGGGGAGCTACAGGACAGTCAGACTCTGTGCCCAGCAAAATCATGGAGCAGATCCTCCTGGAAACTATGCTAAGGCACATGGAAAATAAGGAGGTGATTGGTGACAGCCAACATGGCTTCAATAAGGGCAAATCATGCCTGACAAATTTGGTGGCCTTCTATGATGGTGTTACTGCATTGGTAGATAAGGGAAGAGCAACTGATGTAATTACCCAGATTTGTGCAAAGCATTTGACACTGTCCTGCATACCATTCTTGTCTCTAAATGGGACAGGCACAGATTTGACGGATGGACCACTTGGTGGATAAGTAATTGGCTGGATGATTGCACTCTAAGAGTTGCGGTCAACAGCTTGATGTCCAAGTGGAGACCAGTGATGAGTGGCGCTCCTCAGGGGCTGGTATTGGGACTGGTGCTCCTTAACATCTTTGTCAACAACAGGGACAGTGGGATTGAGTGTACCCTCAACAATTTTGCCAACACCAAGATCTGTGGTGAGGTTGACATGCTGGAGGGAAGGGGTGCCATCCAGAGGGACCTGGACAGGCTTGAGCAGTGGGCCTGTCTGAACCTCACGAAGTGTCCCTGACCATGGCAGGGGGGTTGGAACTAGGTGATCTTTAAGGTCCCTTTCAACCCAAACCATTCTATGAAGGACATAGAATCACAGAATAGTTTGATGCCTCATCTTTTCCACAGCTCTGAAGTAAAAAAGGTGCTGCTTCTGCTACTTGAAGCTGCGTAACATGTCATGTACTTTGAAGGAGGAACTATCTCTGCACATTTGTGTTCTCCCCATGCATGCCATGTATGCTCCAGCTTTGCTTCGGTGCAGGTAGGTTGGCAGAACAGCCAATGCAGCACATGCCAAGCAAGGATGTTACCTGTCAGCTCAGTTATAGCACACCTCTGAGAAATGTAAAATCAACTGGCAAAAAAGCTTTTGTGCATGTGGACTTCTGTATTTCCACCTGGGAATACGTGTGTGCACACGTACTGCACGCTGTGTGCACGCTGGCCATGCTGGCCTGCATGGAACCACTGCACACCTGCCACACGGCCAGTCTGCCCGTGGACGGTGGCCACCTACCCAAACAGCGGGCAACCTGATTAAAGCTGCTGCTTTGGCAGGGCTCATTAACATCCAGAGGCTGTGGGCATGCGGTCAAAGCCCGTATTTTCAACCTGGGCAAACATCCCATGCAGAATAAGGGGACATCTCAGGACATAAGGCTGCCTGGCTTCTTTGCACCCACGCTAGTGCTTTTGTAGGCACAGATAACGGGGACACAACTAATCCGTGTTTGGAACCGATATAACTAATAGCAACAAAACAACAGAACTCCGGTGCATACAGCTGCCTCCAGTTCTCTAATTAAATGGAAACCAATCAACCAAACAAACGCAGAGCCGCCTATGAATATGTCTAAATTTCCCAAGACATGATTTTTTTTTTCATTGCTGCTGTGCTGCAGAGTGTGTTGCGGGGTGGAGGGACAAGAATGATCCGAGACACATTTCCCTCGTGTTTATTTTGGGTGGGCGAGACTCAGAGGGCAAGCACAGGTGGTGCCGCTGGTGCCTGCTCGGTCAGCTCTGGAAATAACCATTGTTATGTGCTTGAACAACTGCAGCGCCGGGCCCTCCCCGTCACGGATTAGCACTCCACCGGGCTCGCCGCTGCACAGATACCAAACAAAGAGATGTTCCTGGCCTCAAGAGCCTCTCCCGCAAATAAGAGCCGGTAGGTGTCAGTTATCTCTCTTGTGACTGAAAGCAATTCCACCCTGTGCCAGCCCTCTCCCCTCACACATTTGCTGGGGCCTCCATGGAACTGCATACACTGGATTTTTGGGAAAGGCTCTAAGCATGCAAAGTGGCTAAATAAATGGATTTCTTTGCAGCCAGCTAATTTCGGCTGCAAAAAGCCTTTTGAAAACCTTCGCCAAGGCTGGAGACCGAGGGCTGCACGCGGAGAGAGGCACCCAGTTCATCTTCTCTGGGAGCTGTGGGTGTGAGCAGCGGTTCGTGGCACCTCCTGAAGAATTCCAAGGGGGACCATAACAAACAGTCCAAGCATTCATACCGAGAGCTTTGTTTTCAGTTTCACTGCAGTAACAATTAGCAGCCAGTTGGCTTTTGGCCATTGAAAATTATATAGCCAACTGGCAAAAAGTATCATTTTTTCCTGGCTTTATGCTCGCAAGCTGGGTGGCATAGGAGGCCGTTGTGAGCGCGTACAGCACTAACCTCTGCAGAACTGCCAACCAGCTTCACTGACCTCCAGCAACACTGATCTTTGTCAAACAGCGACATTTGCCAGCGCTTGGCCTTTGCCTTCCTCTTTTTGTCTGCTCCCGTCACGTTCACTTACTTTCTCTCTCCTAACATTCTTTCATTCCATGCATATGCGCAAAACTCCTGGTTTCAGAAAAAGACGGCAGGTAGCTACAAACCTCCAGCAGCATGGCACGTTCTAACAGCTGAGCGGGACCTGTCCATGATGCTCACTGATGGGTGCTCCAGGAGGTACAGAGGAAACTCATGGGACCCCACAGCAGCCCTGTACCCACTACCTAGAGCTGAAAGGTGCCCGCAGCTGGGTATCTCCACCCCCACGACTAGCAGGTCCCCAGAGAAGATGCTTTGATTGCAGCTGCCTCCTTCTGCAGTTGTACCTTTTTGCCCGGATTTCGCCACCCCCTGAGGCAAAGCTGCCCCCTGAGCAAGCGGGCAGGCTTCAATCCCTCGTCCCCAGGGCCGGCCTGAAAGCGGAAAGCACGCAACAAGCAAACAGAGCTTTGCGGCATTATAATTGCAAATATTCCTGCTTTGTTTTCAGCTTGAGGAGGAGAAGTTTGGAATGAAAGGAGAGCAGAAGCTTGCCAACATGTGGGGTTGGGGGGAATGACTGGGCGGCTCGGGGGGACGACAACTGGGAGGCCGGGGGGGACAAGTGGGGTGCTATGGG